TCCAGCTGTGCACGCACCCCGTCAAGCAAGCGCGCGTGCGCGGTCTGCGCGCGTTTGCCAAGCTGCAGCCGAGGCAGGCCGAGCGCGTGTACGAGATGCTGGTCCTCAACGAGGCCGTGCCCGCGGGGTCGCGCCGTGCGCCGCCTGCAGCGTTCCGCCGTATGGTCAAGGCGCGGATTTACCGTGCGCACAAGGACGCGCTCGAGGCGGTGGCCGACGACGAGCAGCGCAAGGAACTCGTGCATGAGACGTACCTCCAGGTGCTCGATGAGTACCTGGGCCACTTGCGGCTCGCGCGGCGCGCGGGGGCGGCGTGATGCGGGGTGAACGGGATGGAGTGGCGTGAATGCAGCATGGTTTCAGCACTGAAATGAAATGTGTCCGGACAGGACCCGACCGCAGGTGCGGATCAGACCACGCGCTGCCACGCGCGACGCTGCGAAATGGAGCTATCGCGTTGCCAGGAGCCCTCTGCCGTGTTTTCTGATCTTGCTGCAAATGATGCATACCTTTGCTGCGACGCGGGCGCCACCTGATGGTCGGCACTTCTGCTGTTGCGCGAGCTTTCACTCGATCGTGATCTACGAGTTCTTCTCCACCAGGGCCCCGCGCGCTCCTGGACTCGCTGCAATCCGACGCGCCCGACACCTGGACTGCGAGGGGAAAAGGCAAAAACAGGCGCTTTACCATTCTCATTATCACCATTCAAGCGACCAGGCCGATTGTGACAATGATCACGACTTTTCGCAGCCAAGCACCAAGAATCACGACGCGCACGTGCATTACGGCACGAGCACGGCCGCCCGTCCTTGCATCTCAACGATCAATCGCGTCAAGCGTGTCCAGCCCCGGCACTGCAAGCACAACCAGTACCGCCGACGTGCACGCGCACGTAGCCGTGATCGGTGCCGGTGCCGTTGGGCTCGCGACCGGCGCGCACCTCGCTCGCTTGTTCGCTCCGACCGGCCGGGCCGTCGTGGTTCTCGACAAGGAGCGGCACGTTGGCACGCACAGCTCATCGCGCAACTCGGAGGTGATCCACGCCGGGCTCTACTATCCCGCCGACTCGCTCAAGACGCGGCTGTGTCTGCGCGGCAAGGAACTGTTGTACCAGTTTTGCCGCGACCACGGCGTGAACCACGCACCATGCGGGAAATGGGTCGTGGGCGGGGACTCAGAGCATGCGGCACGGACGCTCGGTGCGATCGAGACGCACGCCGCGCGGTTTAGGATTCCGCTGGAGCGCGTGGATTTGGTGGAAGCGCGAAGGGAGCAGCCGAATTTGAGCCGCAGTATCACACGCGTCTTGTCGAGTCCGTCAACGGGGATCGTCGCGTCGCACGAGTACATGGACCGGCTCGCGCAGTTGGTTGGCGAGTCTGGTGTGGGGCACGTCGCGACGAGCGCCCAGGTGGAGAACATTGTGTACGATCCGGCGCGCGACACGTACCAGCTCACGATCCGTAATGCCGACGACGACGGCGAGTTTTGGACGCTCGACGCGCACATAGTCGTGAACGCCGCGGGTGTCTGGTCCGACCGCGTGTTCCGCACGGCGTGGACGTCGGTTGCCGGTCCTGACGCGCCACAGCACGCTCCCGATGCAGACCCGCTGCACCCGCTCTCGATTCAAATGTACCCAACACGCGGGCGGTACTTCAAGCTCCTGCGCAACCAGTCCGTGCACCGCGTGCACCGGCTGCTCTACCCCGTCCCGGACGCGAACTTGACGTCGCTCGGCGTGCACGCGACCGTCGACCTGCAGGGCGCCGCCAAGTTTGGACCCGACGTCGAGTTCCTGCCAGTCGACGCGCGCGAGGACTATCGCATCATTGAAGAGGCCGATTCGGACAGAATGGATGCTTTGCGCGCGCGGTTCCATGCGGCGATTAGCCAGTACCTCGATGGGATCGATGTGCAGGACCTGGTCTACGACTATTGCGGGATCCGTGCCAAGATCACGCCGCCGGGGACGCCCGCGCGCGATTTCTACATTGATCGCGCCGACCGGTACGGGTTGCCGCGGTGGGTGAATGCAATTGGCGTCGAGAGTCCCGGGTTGACGAGCTCGTTGGCGGTGGGCGAGTACATTGCGCAGTTGCTGGGCGTGGAACCGATGCACGAGAAGCGATAAGGCCAGTCGCGGATTGCAAGGGTGGAGAAGGTTCAAAATTTGTACAAATGTGTATTGAAATAAACCGAGAACGAAACACGCCCACTCACTCACGCCCACCCAGCTCATGCCTTGAGCACCTGCACCAATGTTGCCGACCCCTTGGCGCCAGACGCCTCGATCTCAGCCACGTGCGGTGCCAGGACCTTGACGGCCTCGTCCTTGGTCGCGTCGGCCTCGCACAGCGCGAGCGTCACAAACGTGCCAGCGCCGGTCGCCAAGTCGAGCAGCTGCTCCGGCAACAAGCCCTTGAAGATGCGTGCGGCGAATGCGCTGCACGTCTCGCGAATCGTGGCATCGAGCTCAGCGTGACCATCTTCCGTGTAACCCTCCTTGACCTTGGCCTTGCCCTGGTTCCGTGCCCACGCGGCATGGTACTGGACAAGGGCCTTAACGTTACGCAAGAACGTATCGTCGCGGTCGCCCGACCGCAAGGCGTCGACAATGTCGTCCAACGCCTCGTCCTTGGCGTGCGCGTCGTTCGGGAACCGCGTGCGCACGAGCACCTCGACGGCAAACGGTGCGAGTTCCGGGTTCTTGAGCCAGTCGATCAAGTTCTTGCTCGTGGCCTCGAGCAATGCGGGCGAGACAGCGTCGAGCAGTTCCGTGTACCGGCGGTAGGGGTCCTTCTTACCCTGCTGCACGAGCGCGTCAAGCACGACCGGCGCAAACTGGCGCGTCGACCGACCCACGAGCATGAACAGGACCGTCTTGCGCAGATACTTGTTCTCGGCGAGCGCCGACCAATCAATTTCCTTCAAGATCGTCGTCGCCGACAGTTTCGTGTCGTCGACCGTGTCGAGGAACTGCAGCAAGACCCAGTGGCCGTACTCTTCGCTGGCAATCTTCATGATGTAGTCCTTGAACCCCTTAGCAATCGTCTTGCGGTCCTTGGCCGACCCGTAGGTGATGGCGCGCATCGCGAGCAGCGCGCCCTCGCGGTTGTGCAGGATCGCAACGAGTTCCGGGTGCAGCGACTCGAAGAGCGTCGACCGCTCCGCGTCCGAGGCCAAGTCAACGTAGTCGAGCGCAATACGCTGCACGATCGTCAAGTCGCCGAGAATCCCCTTTTCAATACAGGGCCGGATCACCGTGAGCAAGTTGTGCAAAATCTGCTTCTTGTCGTGCTTTTGCACAATATCGGCGAGCGACACGTCCGTCTTGAACGTGCGGTACTCCGGGTGGTAAAACTCTTGCAGCATGTGGTGCTTTTCCTTGGCGTTGCAGTAGTCGGAGAAGATGCCCTCGATCACGTAGCACGCGATCAGGTGGCGAATGTTCTTGGGCAGCTGGCCCTTGAACTCGCCAATGATCATGGGGCGGACGGCGGCGCTATGGGCAGACGTGAACAGGTCAGCAACCAGTCGAGAGAAGCGGCCAATGCGGCGGTGGAGAAGACGTACGTGTACTTGAGCAAGCGCAGCGTCATGAACCGGCCGTACATGGATCGGCTCAGCTCGACATAGCGGCCCTTGAGCTCTTGCGCAATTTGCTGGCGCTGCTCCTCGTTGCCGTACTTGACCATGCACTGCACGATGCGCGACGCGTCGTGCTTGAAGATGAGCTGTAAGCAGCGCATGTCGACGGTCAGTTTCTCGCTCATTCACCAAGGACCCCGAGCCAAATCCACCCCGTGCCAAAACGCACCTCGGTGATGCGGCCCTTGGCCTGCTCCATCATCTGTGTCATGAGCGTCTCGCGGTCCTCGCTCGGCAAATCATGGCGCCGCAGCCGCTCCCACTGCTTCTTGAGCGCAATCACGAGCGGGTAGGCCGGGTCCTTGGCCTTGCGCAGCGTCTTGAGCTCGCTCTGCTGCTTGCGCGACTCGCGCTGCGCCTCCCTGTCGTGCGCGGACCGTTGCTTGGGCGCGGCCGCGGCCGCCGAGTCGCCGCCGTCCACCTCCATGCCATTGTCGTCCTCGTCGGTAATGAACCCATCGTCACCATCGGCCGCATCGTCCCACTCGTCGTCGGACGTCGGCACGGGCGCCTTGCGCTCGACAATCGGCTGCTTTTTGGGCGCTGAGACGGGCGTCTTGGCGGGCGCAGATTTCGGGGCCGGCGCGGGCTTCGCGGACTTGCTAGTGGCACTGGGCTTGCCGCCAGCGGATTTCGTGAAGGCGGGTTTCGAGTGCGCGGCGGTCTTTTGCTTCTTGACGGCGGCGCCGTCGTTGGAACTGGCGCGGTCGCGCTTGGTTGCGCGTTTGGGCGGCATGGTGCTGGTGCTTTTTTCGAAGTTTTCGGGGTCGTGCTGCTTGAGTGCAGTGTGATCAGAGGCCACGACGCGACCGAGACAGGCAGTGTGAGTGCTGACTAGGTCTCGTGACTGCGGATGACCTGTTGCTATGCTTCTTGTGATCTATTTCTGATCAATGAGCCCGCGCTTGCCCGCGGGCAGCGCGTAGACGACGTCGCGCAGCGCACCGCGCGGCAAGAGCGCGACTTGCGCGGAACGCTCCCATTTTACTTTCCTACCGCTGCAGAGACCGCCCTCTCTGCACTACCTATGGCGCACAGCATGAATTTGACGTTGCGCATCCACACACTCGGACAGTGCGCAACCGCCATGGCCAGGGGCGCTAACTAGCCTGCCATGGCTGACGTGACTCCCCCAACTGGGTGTAAGTACTGTTGAAGCTCTTCTTGGGCGCTTTCTGGCTCGCCAGAGCGCAGCGAGATCGATGAGTGGAGGGCTCCTGACTGCCTCCTGGGGCGACCGGCCAGGATCCAGGGGCAGCTGGTGCCTGGTCGGGCTGAAAACGGAAAAAAAAAAAATCACAAACCAGTTAATAGAATTGGGGTTCCGAATCGGCGTGAAGAAAATTAAGCGACAACGACAGGATTTGAACCTGTGCAGGCAGAGCCTAATTGATTTCTAGTCAATCTCCTTAGACCACTCGGACACGTTGTCATTTTTGCCTGGTTTCCACCCGGCTGAACAGAAAAAAAATCCAACGTATATATAGAGGTCAGCAACAACACCACCCCTACGAAGTCCTGTCAGTCAGTAGCAACACGAGCGCCGGCGCGGTGCCGCTGTCACGCGCGAGGTCAAAGTGTTCATGGATCAGACGACGGGTCTGGCCCTGGAGTCTTGGGGGTTGTGATGGGGAGCGTTGCAGCCCTGGCTGGGGCGCTGACACTATGATTGTGCATTCGCACAGTGGTTGCTGAATCGTGCTCATGGCTGTATGTAGCTGTCTGCGCATGGTCTCAATCAGTCCAGGCGGGCCGGCTTTGTTCAAGTGTCCACGAGCTGCCAACAAACGATCGTGATTGTGTAATGCATCAAACGAAATTTCACTCTGCACGACTCACTACAAAGCACCGCCAACGCGTCCCGCAAGCACGACCGCACGCGCAACCAGCGCCGCGCCGGTATCATCACCCGCCACAGCCCGCTCCAGCACCTCCACGGCGCGCCGCACGGCGCGCACCGCCCACGCCGTATCCTCGACCCGCTGCGTCGCCGCGGCGGCCGCCGCATCCACCCCCTCAGACGCCGCAATTCGCGCGGTTTCATTCAGCGGCGCCGCGGCAAACCCACCAAGCGCGAGCCGATCGCCTGCGGCGCCGCGCACGACTTGCCGCTTGGTCAGTGCGCTCACGACCGCGGCCCACGGGTCCAGGAACGCCTGCTTGCCGGACTCGTCGTCGACGAGCCAGACCACGTCCGCGAGCCCGACGGCCGCGACGCTCAGTTCGCGCGTCGTGTAGGCCGCGTCATTGCCTGCGAGACCGCCCGCGGCGAGGAGCGCCGACCACTGCGTGACGGCAAACGCGCGCAGGTGCGTCCACGCGTTGCGCACGCGCATGTCGGCGTGCGATTCGGCACCAGCACGCGTCGCGCGCGCGAGCGTGCCCGCAAACGTCGCGACCGCGAGCCGCTGCGGAACCTCGTCGGCGGTCGCGTCGTCCTCGTCGTCCACGACGGCCGCGGCCCATTGCACGACGAGTGATGCGGCGGCGCGCACGACCTCGCCCACGTGCGAATTCTTGGTTTCGGCGTAGTACTCGGCGAGCGCCTGCAGCGCGTGCATCGACTGGCTCATCGGGTGGTCGTCGGCATCGTACCCGCCTTGTGCAGCCGCGTACGCGGGTGCCACGAGTCGCGTCGAACGGTGGCCTGATGGCGGTGGCGGCGGGTGCCCAGGCCATCGCGGATCCACGAAAAAGTAAGCGTCCACAACGAACCGGTCCGTTCCGTCGACGGTGCGCAGACGCGAGTGCAGTGCCGTAGCGAGTCCCTCGATCCACGCCGCGACTTGCGCGGGATTGTTGATCCCGCCGCCGCTGTTGGTGCCATGGCCGTCGGCCTCAAGTTCACGGCAGTGGAGAAGGAGCGAGCGCAGGAGAAGACCGACGTGCGCGGTTGTGCAGGGCGACTGCAGCGCGAGCGGACTGATGATCAGACCGGTACCGTTCCCGGGCGGCCACTGCACGAGCACCGACGTGTAGTGTGTGAGCACCGACGACACGGTGTACTGAAACTGCTTGCGGAGCTGCGTGGAGTCCTTGCCGGCGCCGATTTCGAGCGGCAGCGTGTGCGAAGGAGAGCCGTTGGCGTTGGTCGGCGAAAACAGCTCTTGGAACGCGACAAGCGATTGCAGTTCTGTGGATCGTCTTCAAGTCAGTTTCCAGCTCGAATACAGCCAAACGCGTCGAACAGACCACCTTTAAACGTACCGGCAATCGGATCATTCACGAGCACGCGCCCACTATGCAGCGGCCGGCGGTACAGCGCCGGCGTGTACTGATAATAGAGGCGGCGCGTGTTCGGGTTTACGGCAGTGCCGACAATCCATTCCTTGGCGAGCCGCAGCGTCGCGGCCAGCTTGTCGTGCACGTCGGCAATTGTGTCGCGCGTCCATTCCGCGTCTTGCGCGGCAACCGCCGCCTCTGGCAGAATTGATGCGGTGGGACGCGCATCGATGGCGCGCAAGGTCGACGCCGACCACGCGAGCACCGATTGCTGCTCGAGCGGCGACCGCGGCGTGAGTGCGGCCAGCGTAAACTCGCCGTCGAGCGCCGTGATCACGTTGCCAGTGGACGCGGGGCGCGGGCGGCGCGCGTGCGGTTCGGGAATTGCCGACGGCGGCGAGAGCACGGGGAACGGCTTGGCGGGTGCGACGCGGTGGTGGTTGTGGTGGTGGTGCCAGCCGAGCGCCGGTGGGGTCAAGGAACGCGGCGAAGTAGGGACGGACACGGGGCGGTGCATGGCCGGCTTGATCGCGTCGGAGGTCGGACAGGTAGTCGAGAAACGAAGCATCGTGATGGAGAGAGTCGGCCGGGTCGGGGGCGGTGTTGTTGGCAAAGGGAATTCGACTTGGTGGACCACGTCGCAATGGAAGTCGTTGTCCTGGGCAGCAGCAGAGGACAAGAGGAACGTGTTGGCGGCGCGCAGCTCGTTTATGTACTCGCCCGTTTATGACTGTTGTCGCTGTTGCGAGCATGTCGCGAGTGGATGGATGATGCGCAAGCACGATCACGCCAACGGTCATCTCACTCACCACGTCGTCGAAACATTCGCGCAGCACATCGTCGCGCAACCTCGGACGTGAAGGTGGCCTTCATCGCGTGCGCGGGCCTTTCGGATGTTCGGCGAGGCGTGCATGCGCGTCCCCACATACATACAGAGACCCAGGTTCCGGTCCTTACACGATGCAATCGTGTCCGCCAGCATGCGCAATCACGACGCTCATAGATTGGACGACGATGGCGCGCACTGGCTCGATGGCGCGACAGCTCCTTAGCCGCCCCGTTCGATGGGATCATTGGCCCCGCGTGGTGGCGTGCTTTTACGCCGTGACTCTTGGGACTGCGCACCAGACTCACACATTTGATACCATCTTGATTTGTGCCGCGGTTGAACTGGATGACCGGTTCCAGGCAGTGGCCGCCTAGGAAAAAGATAGCATCAAGGCCATCAAGCTGGAAGGACCCGAGGCCAAATGTCATTTTGCTGGAATCGCGCGCCTGGTAATAATGTTGCGCTGTTCACCAATAACAGTGGCGAACTTCGTTTTTCTCATGAAACACTTGAAAAGCGCTGTTCGCAACGGACAGCCGAGTAGGACTGAAGGCCGGCCAAAGCTGCGCAAATTGCAGCATTGTTTGCCGGACATGGTCGTCGTGGTTGGTTCGTGAACGCACTGAAGACGAAGCACGGTGGGAGCTAATGGGTTGGTGACTGTCTCCCGCGCCAAAGTACAGCACGTGAGGGGCGATCAAATCATGATTCTGTCTCCCGAACTTGATCAACTTCAAGTTTTCGGTGTTCGTCCATCTCGACCATCGCAAACGACCACCATGATCCGCCAGCGCCTACCAGCACTCGCAGCAAGGCGCACTGCGACTATTTCTCTGAACCATGCTATTGCACGGCGCTCGATCACCACAACGAACCATGACCAGCAACCCCACGTGCAACAGCCAGCCGTTCCGATTCCGAACACGGCAACAGCGCTCCCGTCACGCCCGTCTCTCGACTTCAAGCGCATTTCGGCCAACGCCGATGCCGTCCAGCAAAACATTGCCGACCGCAACCTGCCGGACGTGAGCGCGCACAAGGTCGCCGAGTTGTACAAGGCCTGGGGCAAGGCCAAGTTTGACTTGCAGAACGTGCGACATCGGCAAAACGCACTTGCTGCGGAGAACAAGGCCGTGCGCAAGCAGGCCGACGCCGAGTCGCGCATCGAGGCACTGCGGAAGGAAGGGGCTGCACTCAAGCACTCGTCCAAGGCCCTCGCAGCTGAGGTCGCCGAGCTCGAGGCCGCGTTGTACGCCGAGGCCGTGCACGTGCCCAACGACACGCACCCGAGCGTGCCCGTCGGCCCCGAAGACTGCGCTGTCGAAATTGCTCGGCTCGGGCCCAACCTGGATGAATTGCCGCTGCGCAAGCTTGACCCGGCTGCGACTCCGCGCGACCACGTTGCGCTCGCCACGCATCTTGACCTGATCGACTTGCCCGCTGGCGCGAAAGTTGCCGGATCATCGTTCTATTTCCTCAAGCGCGCTGCGGCGCTGCTCGAACTGGCCCTGACCCAGCTCGCCGTCCGCACGGCCGTCCAGCACGGTTTTGTGCCCGTGAGCCCGCCCGATATTGTGCGACGCAGCGTCTCTGCCGCGTGCGGATTCCAGCCGCGCGATCCGCGGCAGACGCAAAACTACACGGTCCTGCACCATCTCGTGGCGCCGCCCGCGGCCAATGAAACCAACGGCCCGCTAACCCCTGACCCAAACGACCTTGTGCTCGCGGCCACGGCCGAGGTCCCGCTCGCTGGCATGTACGCGGGCGCAACGATCCCACGCGCGGCACTGCCGCTGAAAATGGTCGCGTTTGGGCACGCGTTCCGTGCCGAGTCGGGTGCGCGCGGCGCTGACACGCGCGGGCTCTACCGCGTGCACCAGTTTTCGAAAGTCGAGCTGTTTGCGCTGGCCGCGGATGCCGAGCAGGCGGATGCCGTCTACGACGCGCTTGCCGCCGTGCAGCGCGACATGATTTCGCAGCTTGGGCTGGCCGTGCGCGTGCTGCAAATGCCGACACAGGAACTCGGCGCGTCGGCGCGCCGCAAGATCGACATGGAGGCGTGGATGCCGGGGCGCGGTGGGTGGGGTGAAGTGACGTCCATGTCGGATTGTGGCGACTACCAGGCGCGGCGACTCGGGATTCGTGTGACCAAGGCTGCGGGCGAAGGGGATGACGCGCCGACGCCGTTTGCGCACACGTTGAACGGGACGGCGGCAGCGGTGCCGCGGCTGATTGTGGCGATCCTCGAGCAGAACCAGTTGCCGGATGGGTCCGTGGTCGTGCCAGAGGTGCTGCGGCCGTGGGTTGGGACGGATGTGATTCGGTGTCCGTTTGACGAGCCGGCCGCGCGGATGGGTCGCGAGTCGAGTTGAGCAGGTTGA